CACCCTCTCTCTCACTCACTCACTTTAACAAAATAATCCTCAGCCGTCTAAGAATGCGCTCACCCCCCCCCCTTCCCACCCACCTCCACCCCCAATCCCCATATCAGTAAGTAAAGAAAAGTAAACGACATATGTAGACTCATACAAAGAGAGTCACTGAAGGAGTTACTTTTAGAAAATAACACCCAATGCCCTTGTAGTGAATGTGAACAAAGAAGACACATGCAGTCTATAGTTTGCCTTCTTTGTTGCAACAAAGGGGTTTGGGGGGAGGGGGGGGGGGTTAAGGGAGAGAGTAGGGTAGAATAAAATAGTGATAAAGTGAACATGTGTGAGAGGAAAACAAACAGAGAGAGAGAGAGAGAGAAAGAGAGAGAGAGAGAGAGAGAGAGAGAGAGAGAGAGAGAGTTAAAGTATTTTGGTCACATCATAAGACATAATAGTTCTTTGAAAACTGTACTGGAGGGGTAAAGTCAAAGATTTGTTTCACTTTCTTCCTTTCTTTTTTTAATTTTCCCTCAGTCGCTAGTACTTCTTTCTTTTTTATTGTCTGTCATTTTATTTCTCCCTTATTCACCTCTTTCACCTTATTACACACACACTCTCTCTCTCTCTCTCTCTCTCTCTCTCTCTCTCTCTCTCTCTCTCTCTCTCTCTCTCTCTTTCTCTTTGTTTTTCTCTTATTCGCTATCACTTTCTTACTCTCTTATTCTTCCTTACTCTCTCCCCTTCACCCTCTCACTATCCTTGACACACTCTCTTTCTCTCTCTCTCCCGTCGTTCCCTCCCCACTAATTACCCCCATTATCGTCTGTAACTACCACTCAATATCCGTAAATACAATCACGCTGCTACGTTGATGCCCCAGGCTGTTCTTCAACTCCTCAGGTAATCCACAATCCACCGTTCCTGCGTAGATTGTGCAGTGCAGAAATTGCCTGGCACTGCCAGAACACCCGACCGTCATGCGTTTGCGTGCGTCGATCTACCTGGCATTGACGTAAATCAACAGGAACCATAACACAGTACGCACGTAGAGTATCTTCCCCTGACTTTCATATCGTTCTTCTTCTTTCCCTGATCGCTTCTCTGATTTAACACTGACAGGCGAGTTCTTCTCAAGGGTGCTGGAGATACAGGGACCCCCTCCCCCCCCCCCTTCCACCCTCACCTCCTTCCACAAATCTCTTGGGTTGGTTAGCTTTCTATTTCATTTAGAAAATTTGCAGGCGGGCTAAGAGGCTCCCGCTAACCTTTCTTATTGTGTATCTGAGTGTTTTTTTTTTTTTTTTAATTTAATATCATTGCAAACATATTATTGTATTTACTTTCCATTCCGCACGTTATAATAATAATTTGTATTATTATTACTAACATTATTATTTATATGCAGTTCATTTCTGACACAGACGATCTTCCATACCTTGTGACGTTGCTGGTCGTGCCTGTCCACAATCTTCCGACTCGTGTACTTTCGGTCACTTCTGACACAGATGATCTTCCATACCTTGTGAGGTTGCTAGTCGTGTCTGTCCACAACCCAGCAACTCGTGTACTTTCAGTCACTTCTGACACAGATGATCTTCCATACCTTGTGACGTTGCTGGTCGTGTCTGTCTACAACCCAGCAACTCGTGTTCTCTCAGTCACTTCTGACACAGATGATCTTCCATACCTTGTGACGTTGCTGGTCGGCCTGTCCATAACCCAGCAACTCGTGTACTTCCAGTCACTTTTGACACAGATGGTCCTCAATGCCATCATATAAGACTGTCCAGAATCTTTCCTTTCGGCCTTTCCCTGTCTTCTTTCCTCTCCTACTGTCCAACTCTACTCCAGTTTTCTTCTTCTCATGAAATCACCACATAATGTAGATTCTCTCCTTTTGATAGCGCAAGCAGTTTTCTTCGTAAGTCAGTTTCTTTCAAGACATCTTCATTGTTCGTGTTTATCTTCTTCTTCTCCTTCTTCTTCTTCTTCTTCTTCTTCTTCTTCTTCTTCTTCTTCTTATTCTTCTTCTTCTTCTTCTTCTTCTTCTTCTTCTTCTTCTTCTTCTTCTTCTTCTTCTTCTTTTTCTTCTTCTTCTTCTTTGCGTTCACCAGCTGTAAACTCTAACCGAAGATTCTGGTTATTCATCCACTTCTGGACTGCAATCCTGTTCCAGAACCAGAGTTTTGCTTGTTTTACAGATCTGAGTCATTTGTATGCAGACTGCTCGTTCCTTGCCTATCAGTCAGATGCACTCCGACTTCAAAGGAAGGTCCCAATTAGTCGACTCTTACGACATGCTTTTGGGTAGGCAGTGGGTCTATTCTTGTTTTCCCTACAATAATAAGGCCCCGGAACCCACACGGGGTCTAGGGTATTCTCGGCATCATCTATAAAATCACATCGCCACCGCTCCCTCACAATGGCTCATGTTTTGACAAACTGTCGATGGTTCACTTCTGTGTATACTGACTGACTGACTGACTTTCTACCCCACCAGGACATCACACAAGCGATAAACACCCGATGACACAAAGTGCCACCATGCGGATGAGGATCGCCGTGGAGAGGTCCCAGAAACCGCGTTCAGACATTTGGCCATATTTATGGCCTGCCTATATTGCGGCACCTGGCAAAAGCCAGAGTAGGGCTTCAAATGACAAAACATTTCGTCCTGAAAAGGACGAAACTGGATACTACTTCTGTGTATAGGGATAGGATGTATTTACCTCTCGTGAATTCTCTCCCTTGTTTCAGTGGACACAAAAGTTGCAAAGACTATTTTTCATTAAATGGAAATGAAAATATGGCAGATGTGGTCAAGGCCCTTTGGGAACAAGCAACGGAATCAGTACAGATAGATTATCATGGCCTGGAGAGAATGAGGCACCTGGTGTAGCTGGCCGGCTCACTACACTCATACGAAAGGCAAGACAGACATATAACCGGACTGTGACCGGTACCTTCAGTATTAAAACTCTGCTCTGCCTGCTGAAAATAAGGACGGAGCATTCATGGGAACGACCCGAGTGCTGTGATGTCAATTCTTGACTCAACTAATTTAATGGAATGCAGTTTGTCCTAATCACCCACCCTTTAAATAATAAACAATGTGGTGGGGTGGCTGTGGTGTTCAGAAACATCAAAGGTCAGCAGAATGCCAACTAATGATCTTTGGTCAAGAATTGTGTTTTGACTTTAGACTATCATAGGTCTTAGCCAGCTGGGAGTCACCGTGGTTTAGCAGTTAGACGCTCGCCTGTCGATCGGAAGGTCGAGGGTTCGATGACCTTGGCTCGCAGGTCGACCCGGCCTTGATTGGCTACCAGATGCAGTCATGGGAAGTAAAGGCGACCGGCGTGATGTTGGCCACGTCATCCACTAAGTACCGATTGGTCTATAAAGTATATGCCTTTGTGCCCAATACGCGCGAATGCATAAAAAGAGTCTTTTATTTACTCTGTCATTATCAGTTCCAAAATCGTGTCCATGTATGCGTGTGTGTATGTACATGTGCTACTGCAAACGTATGTGCCTGCGTGCGTGTTTGGGTGTGTAAATATACTTATGATCTCTCTAGTGAACCGTATAGGTTATTTGTGTAGCCCGTGTCTCAATAACAAGATACTTTTCCCTTTTCTCTGTGACAATGTTTCAGCAATCATGCTGCAATAATTACCTCAGAAATGTGACACATTACAAAATTGGCTACCATATTTGAGGCATATTTTCTACCTGAATGTTTTGCAGCAAATAACTTTAATAGTACGGTGCACCATATAATCTATAATTCATTTTGCCCTGTAAACTGCAAAAAAAATGACTAAATTACCCATAATTACTGAAGTTTACATGCTAATGGAAACTTTTAGTGTAAACACAAGAGAAAAGTATGGCGAGCTGTGCTGTCATTTACTCACGTTTAAGCATTATGTATGTGGTAGGAAATTGTATAATAGTATTTACTGGGTCGCTCCGAAGTGGGTATTTGTGCGATAATGTTTATTTGGCAACCGCTAATGACTGACTTAATATATTTGTCGTTACTAGGATCCAGGGTAGCATAGTAGTATTGATGTTAGCTTCTTGGCATATCTACCTCTGTGTGATCACCAGTCGGGTCATCATCATTATCATGCGCCGTGTCAAATAGCTTCGTCGGGGCGCTGACACAAGCAAAACAATATGGGTGCTTGAGAATGATCCCTAACAAAATTTCTATAGTCTCTTAGATTAATATCTCCTGGATTAATATCTCCTGGTTTTTTTTCTCCTGAGTTAATATCTTCAGGATTAATATCTCCTGGATTATTTTCTCCTGAATTATAACACATGAATTAATATCTCCAGGAATAATATCTCCTGGAATTATCCTGAATTATTATCTCCCGGATTATTATGTCGAGGATTATTATCTGGATTAATATCTCCTGGATTAATATCTCGTGGATTAAAATCTCCTGGATTATTATCTCCTGGATTAATATCTCCTGGATTATTATCTACTGGATTAATATCTCCTGGAATATTATCTCCTGGATTAATATCTCTTGGATTAATATCTCCTGGATTATTATCTACTGGATTAATATCTCCTGGAATATTATCTCCTGGATTAATATCTCTTGGATTAATATCTCCTGGATTAATATCTCCTGGATTAATATCTCCTGGATTAATATCTCATGGATTAATATCACCTGGATTAAAATCTCATGGATTAATATCACTTTGAATAATATCTGCTAGAATAAATCTCCTAGAATAATATCTCCTGGATTAATATCTCCTGGATTAATATCTCCTTGATTAACATCTCCTGGATTATTATCTCCTGGATTAATATCTCCTGGATTAATATCTCCTAGATTATTGTCTCCTGGATTATTATCTCCTGGATTATTATCTCCTGGATTATTATCTCCTGGATTATTATCTCCTGGATTAATATCTCCTGGATTAATATCTCCTGGAATAATATCTCCTGGATTAATATCTCCTGGATTAATATCTCATGGATTAACATCTCCTGGATTAACATCTCCTGGATTAACATCTCCTGGATTATTATCTCCTAGACTATTATCTCCTTGATTATTATCTCCTGGATTATTATCTCCTGGATTAATATCTCCTGGATTAATATCTCCTGGATTAATATCTCCTAGATTATTATCTCCTGGATTATTATCTCCTGGATTATTATCTCCTGGATTATTATCTCCTGGATTATTATCTCCTGGATTATTATCTCCTGGATTAATATCTCCTGGATTAATATCTCCTGGATTATTATCTCCTGGATTATTATCTCCTGGATTATTATCTCCTGGATTAATATCTCCTGGATTAATATCTTCTGGATTAATATCTCCTGGATTAATATCTCCTGGATTAATATCTCCTGGATTAATATCTCCTGGATTAATATCTCCTGGATTAATATGTCATGGATTCGATCAAAACTCCTGCAGAACCTGAAAAAAGTGCTAGAATAGAATGTGCTTAGCCTACAGCCGCAGATGTCGCAACCTTGCTGTAAACCACAGCACAACGGCCAGATCCTCACTTTTAACAGAACATGTTGCAAAAGAAATCGCTCTGGTGATACATGTTATAAATCCAAATACCCATTAGACAATTATAAATCATCATCATCATCAATATTATTGGTACCTGTTTGTCTTTCAGATGACAGTGTTATACTGCACTGCGAGGATGCATGGGACTCGCAGCCAATGGCGATGGCGAGTGTGACTAGCAAGACCCGATCGCGTAAAGAAATGTCTTCTACAATTATAAAGTAAAGCAAAGTATAGATCCCTTTTCACGTCTTAGGCGCATCGGGCGCATGGAAAGAGCACCCATATTTTTACAGACCATTCGGCACCATGTGTGTAATGTGGTCAGCATTACGCCGGCCGTCTTTACTTCTCCAGGACCTCCATCCTCGTACCCATTTTAGGTGGGTCGACCTGCGACGCCCCATACCACGATAAAAATTCACGCATTCCCCAATTAAAGCTTGGGATTTCAGGACCGTTGTTGTCAACATTTGTTTTTAGTGAGTTTTTTTCTCAGATGTTCAGCTGTCATCGTTTCCGCAATCATTTCTTTCTTCATCCTCTCTCTTCCCTTCCTGATGTTCCCGCTCTCCACAAGGCCGTTAACGGTATTTGGTTCCCCCGAGTTACAATACCTGTATTATTCATGTGCCGTTTGCACACATCATTGTATTGTAGTAGAGGTCGGCCTCGACAACTTTTACCAATTTTAGTTTATCATAGAGGATGTCCCTTTGGATTCTGGAATCCTCTATTCTCAAGGTGTGACCCAGCCACCTGAGCCTTCGTAGACTGAGCATGTTGTAATGCCTGCGGTGTTTGTGATTTTGTAAACCCACTTAACTATTTGAGTCCCAAGGAACGCGTCATACGTTCATAGGTTCCTACCTAGAAGCCCAATTAACGCACGAAGCACCGATTTTACTCTCTCTTCACTGCCCCTTGAGCCTGTGATGCTAAACCCCCTGGGACTCCGAGTTAATGCCAAGTATGCTTTTTAGGCATCGCATGTAAAAGTTATTTAGCCGTCTCTCCTGGTGCAAATAAGTTAACAAAGTTTCCCTGGCGTAAACCAGAATGCTGAGAATACAAGCCTGAAAGACAAGAGTTTTTGTTTTAATCGTGAGCTTTTGGTTCTCCCAAACTCTTTCCTCAATAATAGCCAATAAGCAGTACCACGATGATATACATACACTCTCCTCGTGTGGGTTTTGGGGATCCATTTTTTGGTGCGAGAAAAGGAAGATAGAAAGGGGATAGACCTGATGCGCCCAAACATACATGTCGCATTAGGCTACACTCTGGGAGCTTGCGACTCGGATGTGTTTGCCCTAGTTGTGAACAACAAACTCTTTAAGGGCAAGTTCAGAAGATGAAGGTAAAAGAGCCTTCAATATTTTAACCACTACCATAAGTAAAAAGTAAAGAACCCTTTTTTCCACGCATTCATGCGTATTGGGCATATAGGGCTAGACCTATATTTTATAAGGGCAATCGTGAACAACACTTGGTGAGGGAGTTGTAGACAAACCTCTTAAGGGTTAGTTGTGTTTATCCTTTACATAATAGTTGAACAAGAACCTGTTTATCCTTTACATAATGTTGCAGAACCTGTTTATCCTTTACATAATGTTGCAGAACCTGTTTATCCTTTACATAATGTTGCAGAACCTGTTTATCCTTTACATAATGTTGCAGAACCTGTTTATCCTTTAAGGGCTAATTTTGCACAAACCTGTTTATCCTTTGAACATAATGTTGCAGAACCAAGTTTATCCTTTACATAATGTTGCAAACCTGCTAGTGTTGTGAACACAAATCCTTTACATAATGTTGCAGAACCTGTTTATCCTTTACATAATGTTGCAGAACCTGTTTATCCTTTACATAATGTTGCAGAACCTGTTTATCCTTTACATAATGTTGCAGAACCTGTTTATCCTTTACATAATGTTGCAGAACCTGTTTATCCTTTACATAATGTTGCAGAACCTGTTTATCCATTCATGCTGTTGCATATGCAGAACCTATATTTTTATCCTTTACTTGGTAATGTTGCAGAACCTGTTTATCCTTTACATAATGTTGCAGAACCAATCCTGACATTGTTTAGCCGTTGTGGGTTTTTCTAGGCGAATGTTACGTTTGGTAGTTTGCCATTGCCAATGAACGGCTAGCTTTCGATACTACTGTGGAAACCAAGGCAGATGGGTGCTGGTCCCCATTGTGAGAAAATCAAGAACAGACCCACTGCCTTCCCCAACAAGTCTTAAGAGTCGATTAACTGGGGTTTTCCTTCGAAATCGGAATTCGTTTGCCTGAGAGCAAGGAACCCGCCACCACAATTTGCATACAAATAAATCTGATCTTTGAGACGGATATGCACGCAAAACACAGGTTCCTAAAAAGTCCAGAGGTGGACGAACAACCAGAACTTTCTGCCGGAGTGTACAGCCGATGAAAGCAATGAAGAAGATATACAGTCTGTGGTAACGAATGAAGGTGTGGGAGATTCTCAGTTGAGTTCAGATACAAATGCTTGCATAATATCAAAGTCCAGTAATTCAGGAAAATATCACACCACAGCCTTTTGTTTAGTTATTGCCCTTTACATATTTTCTGCATGCAAGAAGCAGATGTGGTCATAAGAGAAACACCAGTTCCCTCAATGGCACAGGAATGCCGTCTGTGATTACCTAATTAAATATTCTTATCACGCTGAACAGAGGGCATCCGAGATTGTTACCTCCAGAGGACAACATTGAAAGATGCGGACGGTCTTAGTTGTGTCTTTGGTATTAGTAATGCAGTTTCAACAACAAATCAACATCATGGCACACGGGTAGTAACCCATAAGTGCTCCGTTCTTCTTCTAACGCAAGTATGAGTCTGAAAAAGCTTAGCACAGTGCACAGGCTCTGTAGCACCGGCGAGGATCCTGAAATACTTTGGGTAGATTTTTAACTAGCGAGTGGCTATCAGCTACACCCCGGCAGCTGCTACTCAAAGTTATTTCAGGACCGTCGTTCGGTGCTACGGTGGTCGTGGACTGCCCTGAGATTCTTCGGACTCAGGGTTGAGTTAGAAGTAGAACGGAGCACTTATGGGTTACTACATGTGTGCCATGATATTGATCCGTTGTTTAAACCTGTTTGAAACCTATACTCAGGGGAAAGGCGAGACGGGTATACAGACTGTTATTGCTACCGTGGAAACTAGAATTTTGAGTTTGCTGCAGAAGCTGAGGACGGAGCGTTTATGGGAATGCCCCGAGTGCTGTGATGACGGTGCTTAATTCAACATTCAACATTGCCGCGAGTGATCTTTACCTACTTGCAGCATGTCAGGTTCTTTATTAATATCCTACCCCAGATGAATTCACTAGACACTGCAACATTTTAGAGGGTGGTAAGACTGGGTTTCCTGGCTTTCTGAGGCTTTTAACGACCCCAAAACATCTAGAATTGGCCCTAACCCCAACCCACCTACGTCCAACGAGAGAGTGTAGCCTAGGTCCCACGACTGCATGCAGCTTGGGTCCCACGACTGCATACAGCCTTTCTTTCACCCCCTGAAAAATTAGACTTTCCCGTGACCTGTGAATTTCTCCTGTTTGGGGTAAGATATTAATAAAGCACCGCATATCATTTCATTTTTTTCCTTCTTTTCCTTCCAGCTTTGATGTGGAAAATGGACCTAGCGGACAGAGTCGATCCCCGATGGATGGAGGCAGTCCCTCTTCCGCCTTGGTGCTCCAGAACCTTCCACAAAGACGAGAGTCGTTCTTGTATCGCTCGGACAGCGACTACGAACTGTCGCCAAAGTCAGTATCCCGGCATTCATCTATGCAGAGTGAGGCCACACAGTAAGTAGCATCATACGTCATGCATACATTATGTAACGCTTTGGTTGGGTCTTATTCTGCCCCCCTTTTATATCCCAGTGAGCTATATGTTTCATCAAAACCGGGTATATAGGGTTGAACGGGATTTGTGCCTGTTTGATTCTCATTATTCTAGGGTCCCATTGTGGAGAATACAAGAAGAGACCCACTATCTACCGAAAAAAGCATATCGTAGGAGTCGACCAGTTGGGAACTTCAGAGTGCATCTACCCGAGCGGTAAGGAACAACCAACTTCACACAAATAAGCCAGTAAAACGGATGTACACGCAAAACTCAGGCCCTGGCGCAAGGCGAAAGTCCAATGGGGCTAACAACAGCCAGGACTTTCCACTGGAACTTAAAGCCAGTAAACAGAGAAGGAGAAGATTTTCATCACTGAGATGTCAGTCTAAAGTAAAGTAAGTAAGTAAAGACCCTTTAGGCGCATAGGACATGACCTATATTTTTATATACCAACGGCACAAGATGGGTAATGTGGTCAACATCACGCCGGCCGCCTCTACTTCCCGCGACTGCACCCGGTACCCACTCAAGGCTGGGTCTACCTGGGAGCCAAGGTCATTTTCTTAAACAAAAGTACGGCTCCACCAGGGAGCGAACCCACGACCTTCCGATCAGCGGCGCGCGTCTAGCCCCTCTGCCACGGCGACTCCCGATGTCAGTTTTACAAACCTGTAATTCCGGCGAGGGGAAACTTGTAAACAATTGTTTGTAGCACGTTTCCATCTTTCCAGGCGATAGCTTTTTATTATTTTGTAGGGAGAAGTGGTAATAATAGGCCAGGGCGATAAGGCTGGGGACGAAATTCTTCCTCGCCATTGCACTGCTTTGTTTACTCCACAGAAATGGTAACACCAGTTATGTTTAATTAAAAAGAGATTAAGCCCATAACTAATTGATAGCTTACTGAAGACTTGTTCTTGAAAAACCTAATTTTTCGTCTACCCCCACCCCCCCTTTTT